ATGGAACCCTAATTTCTCCAGCCATAAAGTGCTCTATGTAATACTCCTGCCATCACAGTACTAAAAGTAATGGACTTGCCTGATTATGGACTAGAAACTCCAAAACTGTAAGCCAAAATAAACCTGATTTGTCTTAGTTGTCTATGAAAGCAGAAAGTTGCCTAAGACAATGTTTTGTGAGTATATTCCTAAATCAAGAAAACAAGGACACAGGTGACCAGAATATTTATTTTTGTTTCCCATATTCAGATGCAAAAAGCAGCCCATGAGGTGAATATATGAGTTATGAATTGTTATAATTTCTGAAACATCTTAATGGCTTATGAATTGAAATAAAAACTGAATACTTAGCCACTCAAAAATCAAGTACCTAGACTGTAATCAATATTTATAGATGTTTCTATTCTTTGTAGTAATCCAAATAGAGTCTCTCTTCTATCAAATTGCAAATCTGATTGCAAAAAACAAAAGTCTATACATCTCTATTCTGTTCATAGCCCTTGCATAAAGCTGAGTAGATTCAGCATCAAATCCTCAACATCTGTTCTTACCAGTGTTGTAAAAGTCAGATATAGTCCCTGACAGTACGCATATGTTTACACATAATTTCCAGGGAAACAATAACTGCTTAATGAATGAATGTTACCTAAAAAAAAAAAAAAAAAAGAACAAGTACCTAGAAAGTATGGTGATCATTTGGCAACTTTTTAGTTAGGAAGCACCAACTAAACTGAAATTCCTTTACAAATGTGTTCATAACTTTACACAAGCACTGTTTGCTTTCTTTCTATGGCAAAACTCTCTTACAAGCTCCTATCAAAGACTAGGACTAATATTTGTACTATACGTCAGAAGTCCTCATATATATGACACATAAGACCCAAGATGGGTATCAGCCTCTTAAGTAGCTAGGATTACAGGAATGTAGGGTTAGATGTGACATAGAAAGGCTGGCGCTGGTGGCTCATGCCTGTAATCCTGAGATCTGAAGATCAAGGTTCAAAGTTAGCCCAGGCAGGAAAATCTGTGAGACTGACTCTTCAGTTAACTATCAGAAAACCGGAAGTGAAGCTGTGGCTCTAGGTGACAGAGCTCTAGCTTTGAGCAAAAAGCTCAGGGATAGTACCCAAAACCTGAATTCAAGCCTCACAATTAAAAAAAAATGCTTTACCAGTTGGGCACTGGTGGCTCATACCTGTAATCCTAACTGCTCAGGAAGCTAAGATCTGAGGATCATGGTTTGAAGCCAAGCCAGGTCAGGGAAGTCCATAAGACTCTTATCTCCAATAACTACTAAGCCAGAAGTGGCACTGTAACTCAAGTGGTAGAACATTGGCCTTGAGCAAAAAGCTCAGGGACAGCGCTCAGATCCAGAGTTCAAGCCCTGTGCTCACCTTGAGCTCAAGAGCTGAGAGACAGCACCCAAACCCAGAGTTCAAGCCCCATGACTGACAAAAAAAAAGGGGGGGGAAGTTAAAATCTATTGGGGCTAGGAAGGTGGCTCAATGGTAGAGCACTTGCCTTGCATGCATAAGGCCCTGGGTTCGATTCCTCAGCACCACATAAGCAAAAAGAAAAAGGCTGGAAGTGGCACTGTGGCTCAAGTGGTAGAGCGCTAGCTTTGAGCTGAAGAGCTGAAGGACAGCGCCCAGGCCAAGTTCAGGCCCCACGATCGGACCCACCACCACCACCACCCCCCCCAAAAAAAAAAAAGAAACAGAGTTCAAGCCCCAGAACTGGCAAAAAAAAAGCAGCTAGAGGGAAAATGCAAATATTTTAACATCTAGAAACCTCTCATCAATGTATGCATTTCTTTCCCACTGGAATGCTCTTTTCCTCTCTTTCTTCAGGTCTAAGTCCTATACTCTTCTATTCAAAGCAATCTTTTGCTATCAAATTTTTTACCCAAAACTATCTATTCCTCAGCACTTTATTCATTCCAGAACTTATTCAACATATCACATCATATAATGGCTAGTGATTATCTGATGAATCCTGTTATGTCTTATCATGTTCAGTTATATCCTCCCAGAACCCAACAGAACGGCTAGCATAGCCAGCACCCAGTAAATACTTGTTCAGTTGTTAAATAATGCAGTATATTCTGTATAACCTTACTCATCATGGCTAGGAATCCAACTTCAGGTTCACACCATTACTCAAGATATTGTCATACAACAAAAGATGATATAAATTAATAGTCAGCAGCAGAGTCTGTATTGTCAAATATTTCTGTCAATATTTTTGAGTTTTTCTGCAAATAAGACTCTTTTTCCATTTTTATTTTTCATAGGCTAGGCAATAACTGCAAATCTCATACACCACTAAGAGAAAATCCCAAGCAAAAACTGTGCCACTGATAAGTCTGGATAACTACTTCAGCTACCTCATTTCAGTAAATTTCCAATAGAAAGGCCTGAAGCACCTTAGGTCGACTTCAGAACTGAGGCATGCACTACTGATTACATAAGATACATACACATTAGAGACACTTATTCCAATTAGTAATTGAAATTAAAAATATGTAACACCTTGCTACTGGCTCAGCCAGAGTATCTGATAATATTAAGTAAAAATACCACTCATTCTGCTAAAAGACTGTAACACAACCCCACAATCCCTGAAAGCAGGGACTATGAGATGCTGACCGTCTTTAACACTACCCCTTCCCATCTTCTTGAGCACTCTCTTTCCAAAATTTCCCTCTCAGAGACCTTCTTCCCTTCTTCTAGTCCAGTCATAAATTAATCTCAACATATCCCCAATGATCAAATTCCCATTAACTTCTCTGAATTTGATTCCTTATCTCTTTCCTAATTCAAATTTCACACTTCTTTCAAAGACCACTTCCAGGCTTACTTCTCCCAAAGAGATCCCAACGCTGACCATATCTTATCTTTTGCAAGTTTCCACTGTGCTTAAGAGTTCTCATATAACCCTTGCTTACACACTACCTCAGTTGGTTTCATAATTCTTTTACACATGCCTGCTCCCCCCCCCCAACTAAATTGTTCAGGAAAAAGCCAGGTCTTCTATGTCATTTTTTTCATGGAGTTTGAACTCAAGGCCTAGGTGCTGTCCTTGAACTCTTTTACTCAAGGCTAGTGTTCTACCAGTTTGAGCCACAGTGCCAATTGCAGTTTTTAAGTGGTTAATTGGAGATAAGAGTCTCACCGGACTTTTCTCCCCCCGTGGCTTCAAACTGGGATCCTCAGATCTCAGCCTCCTAGAGGAGCTAGGGTTACAGGCATGAGCAACCAGCGCCAGCCTTTCTGTATCATGTCTAACCCTACAATCCTCCTCCCGCATCAAATGTAACACTGGAGGAAGTGTATAAACTGTATAAAGTGAAGGAGTAAACTACTTTCTACTCACAGATACACACTCAGTTGGAATGAATCATAACAAACATGTATTGTGTGCTTACTCCGTGACAAAAATCTCCTCTTGGTGGAGATATGACTCTTGTCCTAAATGCTGTTACAGGAAATGTCTTTGAATTCTGAATAACACAGAACTGAGTTTACTGACTCCAAGATGTTAAGAACCTCAGTTCAGGTAACATACTCTACAGACCCTCCATGATGAAATGCAGAATTTTAGGGCTAGATTGAAAAGAAACTTTGAAGTTATTTCCCTCCATATTCTTAAACAAATCATGATTCAATTTCAATATAATGAGGGGGGAGGGGAACTGTCCTGAGGCTTGAACTCAGGGCCTGGGCTCTGTCCCTGAGCTGTTCTTGTTCAAGGCTAACTGTCTATCATTTTAGCCTCTACTCCACTTTTGGGCTTTTTGGTGGTTAATTGGGGAGGAGAGTCTAACCGACTTTCCTGCCTGGATTGGCTTCTAATCTCAGCCTCCTGAATAGCTAGGATTACACGCATGAGCTATTGGCCCCCAGCCAATAAAATCTCTTTTTAAGTTCTTGGTATTGCCTTAACAGGAAATTCAGGATTTTGTTAATAATGGAGTTACTCCCTGCCTCCAATACTCCCTTTCTAATGATAACTAAGACCACCACAAATCTACCATTGTGGGAGCCCAGTGCACTGGGCTATGATTTGGGGCACCTTTGATACTGGCATCTCCCATCCAATTCACATGTTGAACAGAATCATTATTTTCTACCTAGTAAACAAGTCAGTACTGCCTAAGCTTTGGTTTAAAAACAAACAAACAAGAGTGCGCTTTCATGGTTTAAAAACATACAAACAAACAAGAGTGCTTTCATACTTTCATGTCCCTGGTAATGACACACAGCAAAAACAGGTGTCTGGAAATAGATGGGAGGAGATCTGAGTCTATAGGGAAGTAACAACAGAAGACAAGTAGGTACCAGAGCCTGGGCCTCAAAATCGACAGCAACACTGGCTGAAAACGCCAAGGAAGCACGTGGGCACACACGTGAGGCTGGAAAAATCCAGGCAACAGGTGGGCCGCCCCCGTCCACCCGGACAGGTGGCCCTGCCCCGAGGTCGTGGGTGTGTCCGGCGCGCGCAGGCACCGGCTGGCAACTCTCCCCACAACCACCCACTCCGGCCCCGAGACCAGGAGGGGAAAGGCCCGACGAGCCTAGATTTATTTTCCGCACCCCGGTCCCGCGGCGGGGATGAGCGCGGGAAGGGGGGGGGGTCCGCATTTCCGCCTCCTGTCGCTCGCGCGCGACCGCCTGTCAGCGACGACGCGAGGCCGCCGAGGACCCGGGCTTCTCCTCAGTCCAGTTCCTCAGGGTGGTTGTTTTGGGGGGGAGGAGAGGAAGCCTGGCACAGCCAACCCCCAAACCCACTGCACCTTCCAGACGTACGAGCCACTTCCCCCCCGGACCCCCCGCGCGGCCGCTTCCCGGCACGCCGGGCCCGGCAACTGACCCTCGTCAGCCCCCGTCCCCGGCTCCTTCCCCGCCCCCCGGAAAAGGCGGCGGAGGGGCGTGGAGCGGCGCGCGCCCCCGCGCCCCGGGCCCGCGCAGCAGGTGAAGCGAGGTCTCTCGGCTACTCACCCCGACAATGTTCCTCTGCGACCGGGCCTGCGGCACAGGCGACTCCGCCGCTTGCCGCGCTCCCCCCACGTAGCCGCCGCCCCCTCGGCCGCTGCCGTCGCCGCCGTCCTCGCTGCCGCCGCCGCCGCCGCGGCGCGCGTCCGCTTTCACGCACACCGCCGTGGCCGCGCACGCGCCCTGCGCGCTGGCGTCACCTACCAACCGGTCGAGCGCGGACCGGCGGGCTCCGGGATCTGAGGCTCCGGGGTCTCTTGGGGTGGAGTTTGCGGCTTCTTCCCCACTAGTCCGACCCGCTGCCCCTCCTGAGCGGGGCCCCCAGGGTGTGGCTGCCCGGCGGGCACCTGGCTGCGGGTCAGTCGCGTCATCGCACGTCACTGTATGGCGTCACCCGTGCGCGTCACCGCGCACGGCCAGGTGTCCCGGGCGCCGGTGTCCCGGGCGCCGATGGAGATGGCTTGGGACTCGCCCGGACCGGTGCGGAGCGGACGGAGCCGCGCCTTCTGAGAGGCGCCGGGCGGCCCTCGGAGCCGTGGAACCCGGGGGGCGGGGAACGGGCGTTAACGCGGCAGCGAGCCGCGACGGACCGAGCCTCGAACCCCCCTGCCCCCTCCCCCCCGGCTCTCAGTGTCCTTAGTGGGAAGAATTTAATGCCCGTCCTGCCCCCGTCGGTGAGGATTTGTCTGCTTTGTTTTGTGCCGGTCCCGGGGCTTGAACTCGGGGCCTGGGTTCCGTCCCGGAGCATTTGCGCTCAAGGCCGGCGCTCCACCACTCCAGCTACTGCTCCACCTCCGGCTTTTTGCTGGTTGATTAGAGAAAAGAGTCTCACGGACTCTCCTGCCCCGGCTGGCCTCCAACCTCGATCCTCAGATCTCAGCCTCCTGAGTAGCTACGATTATAGGCGCGAGCCACAAGCTCCTGGCTCCATTGGAGGGCATTGATGATAAAAGGAAATCCCATGGATGAGGCTGCTGGGGTACACGGGCTTCTCCTGCTTTGAATTCCTCGTCTGGGATCCTGGCAGTGCCACCATGCACCTCCACAGCACCTTCAAGGACCACAAATAGCCCATTAAGACTTTGAAAAGTCTTAATGCAGGGAGTACGGTCTTGGTGTTACAGAAGCGTGGATGCAAGTCTGAACCTGCTCAGTATTGAAAAGTGACTTCCTTTGGGCAAACTGGGGAGCCCAGGTGTGAAGGTTGGGGTGAGGGGACTCGGAATGACATAATTCCAAGCCCAGGAAGCTTCTCGAGTAAAGGTAGGAAGTGAAGGTGACCGAGACACTCTTGAGGCCATTGCAATCCTCCGGCAAGAAACTTAGGGCATGAAAGGAAAGAAGAGGAGAGGTGAAGGAAAAGAAGAAAGCCTCCCCAAGGCTTTGAGAACGTAGAGGATGGCAGTGCCGTGGATATCTGTGAGTGTAAGATGAGTAGTTTCTAGTATGGATGGTGGAATCAGTGGACAGTAACATTTAACAAAATGGGAAAGGAGTCGGTTATTCACAGGCAAGCTATCTTGCTAAACCGTGGTGATGACATTCCTTAGGAGGCTGAGTAGATGGAGTAGATAAGGCCTGATTCTAATGGCAGTGTGTCAACGTATAAGGCATTGGGGTCCCTGGGTAAGGGTCACGAAATCACCAGGACACAGGCAATGCAGAGTGCAAACAGCAATTGCCACTGCATGCTGTGCTTTATTGCATTATCTTTGCCAAGATTTAGTCAGGAGACAAAGAATTTCAACAGATACAATTTTGCTTAAACAATGAGACAATGTCTTTGTATATTTTTATCTAAACTATTTTAGAGCAAGCTCAGACCACTTCCCTGTACTCAGGAAAATTCTTGACTAGCTGCTCATCTGTGCTTAAATAAGCAGAGCTACTTCCTCAGCTCCCAGGAGTCTGTGACATGTGCTTTGAGATAGGGAGAGAAAACATGTTCCCTCTCTAGCCCGGTATGCCAAGAGCTTTCCACATAGACAAACACAGTCCTCAGATAACTCTGAGGCCAGAGCCTGCATCATTCTGTCCCTCCAACACAGACCCTGAGTCTTCACAGTAGTGTACTTACCTAACAAGCCCAAGTCCCTGAGTTCAAGTCCCATTACTCCCCAAAGTGGATAATATCTGTTGAGGAAACAGTTGCTCCTACTCACGACGTTTCCTTCCATATGGAATGGCATCTATTAATTGATTAAACTGAAAGCACTCATCTTTCCCCCAGACAGGCATATCTACTTGAGATAAAGATTGCTCTATTAAAGGGAGCCTAGTTGTAAGGAGAGGGGGTTACACCATTTCTCCTTCAGCCTGGGTGGAAGGAGACTTGGTTGCCCTTCCCAGGCAGGCCTTCCTCCCAAATAAACCTGGTGGTCTTGAGTTTGCCCTTTGTGCTCTTTTTCTTAACAAGAGTATTTCTAGCTTCTTCATTTGTCCCCAGTTTACTTCTCTCTGAGGGTTGATTTCTTCGTTGGTTTACTTAAAAGGACAAACTGGACATCCTTATTCTTTTTCTCTCAAAAAAAAAGGGTTCCTTCAGGAACCTATCACATTTTACTCTGCTGCTTCTCCAACAGAGGAGATGTGGGGTGCCTAACCCGGTACTACAGAGCAAGTAAACCTACAGAATTACAGGGTTTAACACTAGGAAACTGTCCACAGGGAATAACCACTACCAGTTTTGATCATTGTATTACTAAGAGTATCACTACAATAATTTCCATAACCGTGGCAGTTACTTATTGCTGTAACAAAATACCTGGTAGAAACTTAAGAAAGGAAAGAAGCATCATGGTTTCAGAAGTTCAGCACCTTGGTCACTTGGCTCATGACTTATGTATAACCATGGCAGCATGAGCATATGGAGGAGAAAACTGCTAACCTTGTGACAAACGGAGAAGAACCCAGGAGAGGATGAAGGCAGAATATCTCAAGGACACATTCCCAGTGACCACTATGTCCCAGCATTGCCATCATCAGGGGAGCAACCCATTGATGAGGTCAGACCCCTCAAGATCCAGTCACTTCCCCAAATCCCATCATTAATGGCCACCACACTCCTAGTACGTGAATCTATAGGCAACATTTCATATTCAAACAACAATTATGTCTGGAAACTGCTAAAGTGATGGCAAAAGAGATTTTACAGGTATGATTTAGAATCTGGAGGAAGTAAGGTGCTAGTGGAAAGTCCATCTCCAAAATAACCAGCAAAAAGCCACACTGGGGATGTGTTAGCAAGCAGGCTGAGCAAGCTGGAGACCCTGAGTTCAAACTCCAATATTGGCACCAAGAAAAACAAAATCTCAGAGATGTTATCCTGAGTTGTCTATCAGCCTGGAGGCAAAAGATGAAGGGCGCTGGATGTTGGTGGCTCATGCCTGGAATCGATTCTAGCTAGTCAGGAGGCTGAGATCTGAGGATCATGGTTCAAAGCCAGCCTGGGCAGGAAAGTCCATGAGACTGTTACCTCCAATAAACCACCAGAAAACCGGAAGTGGTACTGTGGCTCAAGTAGTAGAGATCAAGCTCTTAAGCTAAAGAGCTGAGGGACAGTACCCAGGCCCAGATTCAAGCCCCATGACTAAAAAAAAAAAAAAAACAACATGAAAGGGAAACAGGGGTCATGGGTTTGAAGAAACTATACTGTGGGTGACACTGTTCAAAAAGAAAAGTACTCCTTACCTTAATGTTACCCTTGAAGATAGATCAAAGGGACAGGCTATATAGCTAGTTGTCAGTTCTTTAATCAAAAATACACAACTTAGTATCAATCTGTATGAAGTGAGGGGTGTATAACATGATACAGAGGAGAGAACAATCAATTCTGCATAACAAGTCAAGGTGGTGTACATCCTGTGCAGGAGAATTGTCCTAATCAAGTGACATCACCTAATATCCCTTCCAGGGGGTTATCTTGTGATGTGTTAGCATAACCTCCTCTACTTTAGGAGCCACTTGGCTATCTTAGGCCCTGCATTAAACATGTCCTTTCCCTGAACTCTGATGACATAGGCACTTTCCCCAAATTAGCCTTATCCGGTGACACAGACAGCTACAACTGTAAATCTTAGCACCTCCACAAGATCCCCCCATACACACTTTCATGTCATGTCTCACCCAACCCCCATATACCGGGCTTGTAGTCCCCCTAGCTGCTACACTCAGCCCGACAAGGTAGCTTGTCAAGTTACTGACATTAAACTTTATAGGTAACCATGTGTCCAAGTGATTTTCTTGGGGAAGTCTTTCAATCTGAATGTTTATGTACAACTGTGTCTAAACTATAGTTGTTCAAATGGGAAAAAAAGATATGACCACAAATAAAAATTGAATGTAATAGTAATTTATTTTTCTGTCAGATCCAGAACACATTGCTATAAATGACATGTTCTGGCACATTTGCCTGTGTAATCCTCATAAAGTATCACATTCAGTTTTGGAAACAGCTTGTTGTGCTAATCACCGACGTTATATCTCGGTTTTAGCAGATAGGATGCAGTTTAAATAATTTATCCAAGGTGAAAGCAGTTAAATAAAACCACGGCCAGGAATATGGCTCAGTGGTACAGTGCTTCCCTAGCATGCATGAAGCCCTGGGTTCAATTCCTCAGCACCACATAAACAGAAAAAGCCAGAAGTGGCACTGTGGCTCAAGTGATAGTGAGCTGAAGAGCTGAGGGACAGCGCCCAGACCCACAGTTCAGGCCCCACGACTGGCCAAAAAAAAAAAAATATATATATATATATATATATGTACCTTAATATAGGATTGTTATGTATGATAATCGCTCTGTTGGCTTTTTTGTGTGTGGGTTTGGGGGGGGGGTTGTTTTGGTTTTTGTGTTTTTTTGGCCAGTCATAAGGCTTGAATTCAGGACCTGAGCACTGTCCCTGAGCTTCTTTTGCTCAAGGCTAGCACTCTACCACTTGAGCCGTAGAGCCACTTCCAGCTTTTTCTGTTTATGTGGTACTGAGGAATCAAACTCAGGGCTTCATGAATATTAGGCAAGCACTCTACCACTAAGCCACATTCCCAGCCATTTTGTGTTCTTTACATAAACACAAGAGAAGTTTCTGAGTCAAAAGACATGACACACAGACTGGGAATGTAGCTTAGTGGTAGAATGCTTGCCTAGCTTGCATGAAGCCCTGAGTTCAATTCCTCAGTACCACATAAACAGAAAAGTCCAGAAGTGCGCTGTGTCTCAAGTGGTAGAGCTCAAAAAACTGGTAAAAAAAAAAAAAAAAAGATGACACATTCGACTACTGGATAACATTTGGTACTCTTGGTAGGC